CATTCTGATTCTACAAAAAACCACCCTACTTGGAACAACTTATATCCTCCGACGTTACCTTAACAGTTCCTAGGTCTTGCAATGGATACTGCATAGGCACAGGACAGCTAAAAATCTTGCAGAGGCAATATTTCGGTTAAACAAATATTGGACAATGTTCTGAACTGTGAATAAGTCAACAATTGAAGTACTTGCTAGAAAAGAAGCAGGACAAGGTGAGAACTTTCTCTTGGAGAAGAATCAAAAGGCAAGTAGGTTCAGGCTGTGACCTTTGATGAAACTTAAGCCATTGAGTAACATTTTGGAGAGGAATCTCCTCCTTACATGTCCTAAACATTTGCTTCTCCGGCAAGGTTTCTTCCATTACCACCATCTTCACAAAACAACATAGACATCCCAAAGGTGCTTTTTCAGGGGGCAACTGGACTTTTTTGTTTTTTTCTTTTGAAGATGTTTTGCTTCTCATCCAAGAAACTTCTTGACCTGGGTGACTGAGAATCTCTATAGACTTTAACTAAAACAATAAAGAATTTTGCAGTGAAGCACCTAAGAGTTAGGAAAACCCTACTTGACAGGAATTCTGAGTATGAAAGTTGGACTTTGCAGCATGTTCCCAATCCGTTAGTTTAGCCCAGAAGATGTTGGACCACATCTTTCTTGTTTTACCTTTCTGGAGCTGTTGTTGAGTTCAACAATGTTGTCATGACCGCAGTAGTCAGATTCCCATCAGTTGCTAAAACAGTAGGATCAGGAGACACAGACTGGTAGTTGATTACCATGCTCCCAATGCCCACCCAAAATGCCATGGCCAGCCCAGCAATTAATCCAACTACAGCACCCTGTGGAGAAACAAGGAGTAAAGTATGAGGGGCTTATTCTCCAAAAGATCTGAACATACACTGGCTGGGTTCACCTAACATGGCAAGTTGAATCTACTGCAATCCCTAGGTAAGTCCAATGAAATTGTGGCAGATGATCAAAAGCAGGGGTCTCCAACCTTGACAACTTTAAGACTTGTGGACTTCAACTCCCAGAGTTCCTCAGCTCAGAACTCTGGGAGTTGAAGTCCACAAGTCTTAAAGTTGTCAAGGTTGGAGACCCCTGATCAAAATAATAAAAAATTGCCCTGATTAAATAGTGGGCAGCCATCTTCACCAGTTTCTTTGAGGAGGTTGGCTAAAACTAAAAATAAACACGAATGATAACCAAATCAGATAGCAGACGACATTAGCCTTCTATCCTCTTTTCTCCCTTCAGGAGCTGAAAACAAACAAAATATAATAGAATGTTCCCAGACAAGCTCTATTTTATAGGGCTGGTCTAGGCTCTTGCCTCTGTGACCAGCAGCTGGGACAGAAGGTGAACATCCTCTGTAAAGACGACACAGATCTCTGAGAGAGGGCAGTTTTGTCCAACCCAACTCCAGCTAGATGAATACTGGTCTTCTCTTGCCCCATTGCTGACTCAGCTTTTTTTCTTTGCATCATACGCTAACTTCATTCTTGAGAAGTAGCAAGCAGGTTCTCTGAGTATACTAGTTGTGCGTAATACACACCAAAGTCAGCCCTTCTGTAAGCTTCTTTCTTTGGCAATACTATTAGAAACCTGTCTTGCCACCATCTTCCATCAGATGTATTGCCAGGTGAAGGGTGCATGTATGTGCGTGTGAATGCCAAATTTGACATTGGGCATAGGTATATGAGGATCTGCCCAGCCATTGAGGTAGCAACACTTACCACAGAGTTGGCACAAGGAAAGAACATGCCCAGGCAGAATAGTCCCAGCAGTGGTCCTCCCACCATGCCAAAGATGCTGATGGCAGCCTTAGAAGAAGAAAAAAATGAGGGGTCTGATTTGGGGATTTTCTCATGGAAAACTGCCTGCAGATAATTGGTCTATCTAGTGCTGCCTGCAGATGCTCCTTATTGAATCTGGGACTTGCATGGAAAACAGATAACTCAGCTACCGTTTCCCTTTACTGTTTATCCTCAGTAAATATGATCTGAAGTACAAAAATGCTATACTTTTATTAAAATAAGCAAATCCAGTTTGGCCCACAGGCTCCAGTTCTAATGGCTGAGCCAGAAAAATTGTTCAATGTACAATGTTTTGATAGGGCATGAGGAAGGATAAATTCCCTCATTACCTCCTGAAAATTCTGGCCACTAATATCACTGGAGAGCTCTATTTGGTTAAGATGCATTTGGTGCATTTGATGTCATCTATGGTCCATACAGCAACCTTCCCCAGGTTAGATGCCCTCCAAATACCCTGTTTCCCCGAAAATAAGACCTCCCTGAATAATAAGCCCAATCGGGATTTTGAGTGCATGCACAAAAATAAACCCTCCCAGAAAATATTGCAACACAGCAGCAGCCATGAGGTGACCACGCTCGCCGCCTCCTGCACCTCAAAAGTAAGACCTCCCCAAAAATAAGGCCAAGTGCTTATTTCGAGGGTCTTACTTTTGGGAAAACACGGTATGTAGAAGTTCAATTTTCAGAACCCTCAAGCATTGCCCTGCTGGTTAAGGGTTAATACTTAACAAATTTTGGGAAATCATCTTTATACAGTGGCAGCCACAGAGACAGAGAAGGCAGAATTATAATTCTCCATGGAAAATATCAATTTGGCACACTGGGCAGAAATGTAGTGAATTTGTGGTGACTGCACTGAAAAAAGGTATGTAATGTAATTGGTAAAGTATGTTAAACAATGTAATTTGCTACACTTGCACTATATCTTTGGGATAAAGTCCTCCATACCTTTAACTGCCACAGATTTTTCAAGCACTTGCTATGTGGCAATAGGCTCATGCTGCTGTAGTTCTTTCCCAAAGATGCAAGAAAGTAGATTGTAAAGATGTGGTTGGGCAATTCAGGGAATAGCAACAGAGGAGGAGGGAGAAAAAGATGGAGAGCATCGAGTATGTGGCCAGTTGTTCGGCCCCTAGGTCCTTCATGTCAACTCAGAAAGGGCCGAGGGGGGCAGAAGGCAAAGAAGAGCAAGACTAAAAGTAAAAGAGAATGAAATAATAATAAAAAAACAAGTAACAAAGGAAGGTAACAGAAAAGAAGAAATATGGGAGGGAGGGGCAAGGATTATGTTCTGGGAAGAAAAAGTGGGCCAGGAAGATTGACTTGTTCCTTTGACAAGATATTGCCTATCAGTACCCAAGAGGAAAATCGGTGAAGAATATATTACATTAAAAAAAGCAGATGATAGGGCTAAAATCCTTCTCTCCTTTCTGGGATCATGATTGGGACTGCATTACAATAAAATCCTCTTGGTGAAGAAGCCAGAGTTTAGTTTGATTCTGCACTGCAGAGAATATCACCAACAACAGAAGACCAACAGAGAAAAAACATCATACTCTTTGACAGATGCCCAAAACTGAAAGCGATTCTTTCCAATCACGGTTTCCACAGTTCTCTTTAGCAAAATTTCTTAAGAGATTAGGATTACAATAATCCTATTATTTGGAGAACAAATTTATTTATGTGTACTGTACGTTAAGATGAAGATGTTTTAATTTTATTTCTACACCTTTTGACCAAAGAGGACACAGGTCTTTTCAATTATAATGGGAGTTATTGTAACAAAGATAGATTATGGGGATAGAGTGCAAATTGCTGTAGAAAGAACACATCCTTTAAAATTACAAGAGCAAGTTGGCTCTCCAAAGGGGCATTCATTGTCTACTGTTGAGTTAGTTAATTTTATCATTTGTTAACAGACATTCCACCCTGTTCTGAGGATTTAATTTGCTTTATATTATTAGATTGGAACGTTAATATTCTAAAAATGTTTTAAGAGCTACAATTTCTTAGAGCTACCACAAAGTAAAACGCTGTCAATTTTACGTTTTTGTATCTGTGAAAAAATTATGCCTTTCATATTGTTTTATATCTTTTTGCCACGTATGATTGGTCACGGACTGCAATAAAGTATATACATACTGGTAATGGAGAATTTTGCAGATGAACGATTGTGTGACCTTTATCAGTCTGTGAACAATAATTACAAAAGGCTTCCTTCACTCACAAAAAAAGAAAACTACAGAAAATCTCATATCCCAGGGGGAAAGAACCACATTTCTATAACACCTTCAAAGCAATGAACTGCTTTGAAGCCATTGAGATGACTTTGGAGAAGGCATCCAGAAGTCATTAGAACAACAAGAGCAGAAGCAGCAAGTGTTAAGGGGGTGAGGGGTGGGGAGAAAGTATTTAAAAAAAAGACTGGGTCCCGCCTGACTTCCTGGATTATAACAAGGAGAGAGGAGAAAACACAGGCAGACTTGCACAAATCTGTTACTATAGCCTAATCTTAGTAAAGCATAGTTTTAGTCTTCCTGATTGGGTCTACCTTGTAAAGCTGACAACTCATCATGCCACATATCTTCTCTACATGCTTTCCTGTCTAATGATCACTCCTTACCTGTAGCACTGGACCCATCATGGAGGAGATATAAGCCATGCCCAGGCAGAGAAGACCATAGCCCAGAGCTGGGAAGAGAAAATGTCAAGACAGTTGAGCCAAACTGAATGCTGGCAGGTAGAAGATGCCCTAAGACTGCACTTGATCACACACTTTGACAGGCATCACTCACCTAACAATTTGGAGTAGAGTGTGGCACGTCTCTCAGGAATGTTGGTCACATATGGGCGAATCAGGTCTTCCATGGTCACTGTTGCCAGTGAATTGAAGGCTGAAGAGATGGTGCTGTTGAGATGAGAGGATTGAGAAAGATAGAGGACTAGGTAAGCCAGGCTCTCTTACATCAAGCCCAGATCCTAGGTCCAAAAGGGAAAGGAGGGTTTACCTTAGGGAGCCACTGAAGAGACAAGCTACAAAGAGGCCAGGCAAGCCAGGCACATCTTGAAGCACATCCATCACAAAGAAGAGGACCATCTGCAAAAAGGAGGATGTGGGTTGAGAAAAAGGATGAAAGGACAGAGGATCAAATGGGTGCAAAGGACTGCCACAGGCATTGTGTGATGCAAAGCAAGCAAGCAAAATGTTTCCAGGAGCGCACACAAGAGAAAGGGCATCGCAAAGTACCTGAAGATATCACTGATTTCAGGGTGAACACATTCATTTTTCATCATGCATGGATTTCTGCCAGTCTCTGTGAAACAAGACATTTTCTCTTACCTATTAGGCTGGAGGTCTGCATGCACAGGTGTGGATATGGGAATGGAAGGAAGACACCCTTCAGCAAGTGCAGAAAAGGAGGCATGAGGAAGAGAATAATGTAAGCCTTGTCCCACATGTTAGCTCCAAATTGTGCACATGTAAGAATTTGGTCAACCTGATCAGATGAACCGTTGAGCTGCTCCTGTGTCAACTGATGGTCTTGGTAGTAGGCAAACATGACTAAGCCAGTGAGGCAGCTGAGGCAGAGCACAATTTGCTGGCAGGGGAACACTGCATAGCAGGACCTAAAGGGAACAAGAAAAGGAGGGACAGTGTTACACTTTTTAACTGTCTGCTAAATATATCTTAGCTAAATATATCATCTCCCACTCCAAGTCCTGCTTCCATATTCAGCCAAGTGAAGCATCTACAGAGCTTCTTGAGATACCCAGCACTGCAATTCCCCAACCCTCCCAGTGGCCCCCCAAGTGTCACACTCACAACACAGCCTGGCGCTCTGAACGGGAGCTTAGATACCGCTGGACTTGAGCCTGGTTCACCCCGTAGAGAGCCAACATCATGAATACGCCCCCAAAAGCTAGAGTCCAAAAGGTGTGTCGTTCAAAAGGGTCAGGATTCAGACTATTGAAGAAAAAAAGTCGAGGGTCATAGGAACATCAGGCATGCATATGCACATGAACTAAATTGCTTTCAGCTAGGGAAGCACAAAGATGAGTGCTGGGAGGGAGATCTTCAGTTACTACTCTGTAGATAGGAAAGAAAACTCATCCCTCACTTACTCAATGCCTGATATCATGCCTTTGTCAGCAGCCAGCTTCCAAACACGACCTATGCCGCCAACCTTAAGAGTGCCCACTACAATCACAGCCACCTGTCCTGCAAACATGACAAATGTCTGGAACACGTCTGTCCAGATCACAGCTTTGAGTCCACCCTACAAAGAGAAAGAACCTGCTGTCAATAAGGAGAACCTGCTGTCAATAAGGGGAGCAAGATGAAAATAGTGGGAATCTGGAATCCTCACAGCACAGAAGCCGGATCTCCATCAAGGACAAATAGCAAGGAGTTGGGGTGATATAAGGTGGAAAACTGTCCCATCCCTTTTTCTTCAAGAGATTACTCACCAGTGCAGTATAGAGGGTGCAGACTAAGCCTATGGTCAGCACTGAAGCCCAGATGTCAAAATTGGTCACTGCAACCAAGAAAGAACTGTCAGAGAAGGGCCTAATTGCTGAAAGCCTCTTCCCAGCAAGCTAGAAAAGTTCCTCATCTGTTCACATTGAGGCCAAACCAGGCTTTGGGGTCAACCAGTGTTAGCTTTCTTTGAGCAGATCTTTGTCCCTATACATAGCTCAGAGGAACTTCCTACTCTAAATTCCCATTGTGAAAATGGTTCATCATGCTCCTCATTGGACCCTCAAGAATGTGGCACTTTACTCACCTGCATTGAGAGCCAAGGCTGGGGCATAGAGGACCACTCCCATGTATATCACCTACGGGGACAAAATCAGTACCAATGTCACTGGACCATAGCTGGCTCTATGACACTCAGGTCAGAGGAAGGTAGGAGGAAAGACAAACAAGGAGACCCATGTCTATTGCCTTCTCCTTCCAATACCTACATAAGTTCTTTATTCAAATAATATTCAAGGTGTATCTTCCCCTGAGATTTAGAGATAGGAGAGGGAAAAACAGACCTCAGGGACCATTTAAAATATATTATTATGTAACGCACTTTAATGCAACTTTCCCATCAAAAAGTCTTACTTTTTGCTTTCACAAGGGCCATGCAATTATTGAACCATGCATTATAGTCCCATGACTGAGAAAGTAACTTGCCCTAGAATTTTAGTGAGAGATTTCAAGAGTTGCTAAATTATGCTATGTAGGATTTACTATGTAATGTTTACCTACTCAAAATGTCAAAAAATGGTTGTCATTTCTTAACAATTATACTTTGAGCATTCAAATGCCATAAAAGAGATTTTAAAAACGATATGCTGCGCTAGGGTTAAAAGTTAGGAATAGCAATACCACTTAGACTTATATACCAGCTCATAGTGTTTTACAGCACTCTCTGAGCGGTCTACAAGATAGCCTATTGCCTCCAACAATCTGGATCTTCATTTTACGAACCTCGGAAGGATGGAAGGATGAGTCAACCTTGAGCCGATCAGGATCAGACTCCTGGCTGTGGGCAGAGTTAACCTGCAACACCACATTCTAATCATTGCACCACCACAGCTCTTTTTATTTGTTACTCACCTCTGTTTATTTGTAAAAATAATGAAGGTGGGTTACAAATAAAATAAACAAAGTGACCTTCACAGCAAAGCAGAACTGAATCCACATATTCCCTATATGGTGGACAATTGGTAGAGGATGAGGCCTTGGAGTTTGATGAAGCCAAAAATGTCACTAGGAAATAAAGTTTGATACCTGGACTCGAAAAATGTGCAGGGATGTCAATAGGGTAGGAAGCCTATCCTTAGCTAGCAATGCAAATGAATTTACAAAGCGAGAAATAAGAAATGAGGGGGAAAGAGCCAAAACACAGACTTAGGCAGGAAATCTAGCACCTAGATCAAAAAAGAAGGAAAATATTGTTCTCATTACCAGAAAAACAATATAAATAATTTCTGTACTTACCATCTGGAAGATGAAGGTAGCAGTTCCACATAGTCTCACCACCTTGTTGAAACGCAGCTCCAGATACTGGGAGGGCAAACAGAACATGGAAAATGAAGGGGTTGTAGAAAGACAAGTAGATGCAACCCTAATAAACTTTTCTTGGTCAAGACTTCGGCTCCCTCGAAAGAAAGGACCAAAACACAGGTGCTCATCAGTGGCCAAATGCCTAAACTTCACAGGGGAGTGGGGGGGGGAGCTATATCTCCTGACATTTCTCCTAGCCCATGCTAAAATGTTGCCATTTGGTGCAGCTGCTATTGCCCCACATTTGTCTTCCAACCCAAATTACAGTTACTTCTTGTGATTTTTCCCTACCTTAGAGGGAGAGAGAGATGGGATAGAATAATAGGATGAGCTGCAAGGTTATCTATATTTGGATTGGGTTTGTGAGGATGGGAAGGGGAGTAAGTTTGTCTTTAGACATACAACCCATGGCATCCTTCCCCAGGCTAAATTTTATTTTCAGTCTAAAAACAATGCTTTCAACCAGGTTTTCAATTATTTTAAGCATTTTCTACTATCATGGTCTCCAAAGCACATGGAAAAGTGCAAAAGCTATGCAATTTAAAAGCTATGTGTAAATGAATTTCTGTCCTGTTTGGGGAAAATTAAATTAGTAGTGTTCAACTTAGAACAGTTTGCAAGGAAAAGACTAGAACTGAAAGCTTTTTACACTGCTGCTTTTACACTATCTATAATTTTCCATTTTTCCCTTTTGTACACTGTCCAGAGTCACAAACTGTTGAGAGGCAGTTTAATAAATCATTTAATCAGGTACATTTTTGATTACCGGTATCTGTCACCAAGCCATTGTTGATTCTTATTAACCATACAAATACACCTTCAAATAATTAATTAAATTACTTCCTACAGGCCTGTACAGATCAAGAGGTCAAATAGCAAAATGTGCAAACATTGGGTCCAAAGAGAAGTTCTTAAATAATAAACTAAACCCCAAACCTGTCTATATTTGTTTTCTTTTTCCTTTTGAGCTTCTTTGACAATAGGGAAAGAAGATAAAGAAAACTCCATTGCAAATATGGAATCTGCAGTATTTAGCTTGGAACCTGGTATTCCCTAGGAAAACTGCTACTTTTCTTGGTTAAAGAACTCAGTTGTGTTTCTGTAATATCAGACAAAGTAACACCAGAGGTAGCAATGTTCAAACTTGTAGGATCTACTTTTTTTCTTTAAGAAGAATACTGAGTTCCACCCGCCAAAAAACACAGCTGGATACAAAATAATGGCTCAGGGAACAAAGTCTCATACTTAATGAATTTCAGGAGTCATGTATAAGGATGAGCAGGATTTTAAAGCACAAATCTGATTGTCTGACTAATACAAAAGTATATTCTTATTCTCATTGACAATTATGGTAAATATATTGTAGGTATAGTTCTAGGAAGAAGCAAATTGTCATGATTTTTAAGAATCAAGACCCATTTTATAGCGTGCCAGCTTTCAAATGTAATTTGGCTATAAAACAGAATTTATGATACTTGTCATTGCTATATTAAATAAATCTTGCCATAGATGCTTCAGAGCGTACAAAGTCTGAATGCAGGACATTATCTATTTGAAACTCCTTAAACTCCTTTAAACATATCTTTTCTCAGGCTCACAAAGCAACTACTGTATGATCTCAGAAAAGTACATAGATACTATAGGGAGTTCCTGAAAAGCATGATGTTGATATCTCCAGGCAGTCGAAAACACGTTTTTGCTTTCAAAGCCAAAGCAAAGTATAGTCTCTCCCTGGGAACTATTTGCTTATCTAACCATCAAATGGTTTCATACCTAACAAAAGGGCTAGTACTGCCATAGGCTAGAAAGTACAAGGTTCAAAAAGGAGAGTAAGCAAAGATAGGTAACAAGCAGCAGACTTTTCCAAATAATTTCAAAGCTGAAACATTCATTCCATCCCTGAAATAAAGGCTAGGTAAAGGTTCCCCTCGCACATACACTATATTGCCAAAAGTATTCGCTCACCTGCCTTTACTTGCATATGAACTTACTGTAAGTGACATCCCATTCCTAATC